GTGAGCAAATTGTCCTCCGCTCAGATACGGAGTACTACTAGTTAATAGTACTACATGGCTGGCTGCATGGCACCAAAGACATGCGTGTGTCTGTTGTCGCGCAACCAGGTTGACAGGCTTTTCCCGTTACGGTGGCGCTGATCGTTCATCAATCAGTGCGAGGAATATTGGATGACGGTTGCTAGCCAGACGTCTCTTGGTTGTAGACGCAGGGGTCTGACTGGATTGACCCATTTTGGCTTGGGTTTGACAAGGGGCGGCGGACCTGACGAAACAAAAACAGAATGCAGCAGGGCGGAACGACGAGAAAGGCACAATGTGAATGTGACATGGATAATGACGGCCAGTAATGTTACGAGGGATAACAACAAGTGTGAGCAGGTGGTGAGGAGAGAGGAACAGGAGTGAGAAGGTGGAGCGAGGAGGAGTCAGGAGCACGCAGGCGTGGGTTTTCTTGCGTGCAGGAAGGAGACGAGGCATCGCGGTTGCCCTTTTGGCATTTGGGGAGCCTGAGCCTGAGCCTGAGCCTGCATGTGAGTCTGAGAGTCTGAGAGTCCGAGAGTCTGGTCTGAGTCTGGTCTGAGTCTGGCTGCCGCTGGCTGCGTCCCCCTTGGTCGGCAAAACACCACGCGCTACACTCCCCCAGCTGCCGCACCACTCCTCCAGAGCCTCTGTGCGCACACCCTCATGCTCTCCTCCTTTCTTTCGTTTCTCCTCCTTCCCTCTGTTCTGTGTCCGCAGTCCATCGCGTTGGTTTTTTGGCCCCGCTGCTGGTTCTTCAACGTCTCGTCGGGCTTTGCGCTTTGTATTCTCTTTTGTGGGATCCAAGGCGCCCAGTCACGACTCACGACTCCGTCTCCTAATTAGAACAACCCTACCTACCTAGGTGCTTCGGCTTCGGCTTCTTTGACTTCACGGCGATATCCTTTCTCTCCGCCTGCGGTCCGCGATCCTTCGTTCGACAGCTGTTGCTGTTGCCATCGTCATCGTCCAACGCCTGGCTTTCAACCGCCGCCCAATTTTTTCGCCTTGGTTTAGCGCCTGCCGCTCGTTACAATTTCAACCCGAGATTTCCATCTATCTCGACGACGTTCCTTCCCACATACGCCAATTGCGCCTTTAATGTCTATTCTTCTCTGCGATCTGCGACCTGTAACCTACGGCCTTTAATCCTCAATCGATCCTTCCCTGCTTTTGTTGGACTGAGAGTTCGCATTCTGCTGCTATCAATTCTCTTCCCAGCCTGTCCAATTTCGAATTCCGCAGTATTGGATTTGCATTCTGGGTTTTAGCCGTCATTAAAATCAAAGCAAAGATACCGAACAAAGCTCGACTACGGATTGAACCGATTTCTTTCATGCTGTGGCCCTCTCTTTTTGGTTAGGATATCCATCGACACAGCATTTATCCACCAATTACTTCGTTACTGCTATCCGCCGGCATCACCGCTTCATTTTCGTCGTCCAGATCACTGCATGGCTAGTTGATAGCCACAAGGCCTCTCTACCCGCTGTAGCATCCATTTTGCGATAGCATAGTAACGCATCGGATGCTTGGCGTAATGAACATGGCCATGGAACTGCCTTGCGATCGCAAGGCTACGGCGAAACGCTCCTATCGGCATGCCAACAATGGCCACACACCCTCCATAAACCGCTCTATGGCTCGGGGAGCTGCGGCACTCACTCTATTTACTCTCATGCCTCGAGTAGCATCGGCACAAAGCAACGGCGGATGCATATCATTACAAGGCTCAAAAGCATGCCCTGCTTTTGGATCGGCTTCCGTTTCGACCAGTAGTGGCATGGTCCAGATATAGTAAGCTCTGTTGGCCCTCAGCTAGATGGCGCGGGTAATTGACCTATGCTAAATCTAGTCCATTCTTGCAATTTGTATCCGACACCGGGTCTTTCGACTATCAACTGTTGACTTACGTGAAAACATCTTATGTAAAAGACAAGTAAGAACGCCGCAATGGCTGCCAGCCACAATTTTGGCCTCGGATCTAACCTCGACCTGACAGATATCAAAGCTTATTCGGCTGTGGTAATATCAATTTTACTGACCCGAGTAACATGTACGCCCGGTACACAACAACGCTACTGTGCAACACCCTCATCCAGAAGTCGATTAGCTCTTGCTCGCTTACCGGCGACGCGACGAGGCCGTTGTGTGCAGATACATGTGCCGACTTTGCTCAAAGTGAAGCCTACATCACTGCTGACAAAAATCTCTGTTCTAACCCTGGCCCTGATTTGAGCAAACTGATTCGCGCCGATTTTGCGACGTGCTCTTTGCCTGAGGATGCCCTTACCAGCAGGTGCATTGCTGGATTTGACAATGAGTCGGACAACTGTGGTTTTGGTAATAGCACTATTGGTCTCTGCTCCTATTGCGCCGCCGGAGGCACCAATTCAACAGATACCTGCTGCTATAATGCGAATGCCGAGAAACGATGCGAAGGTGTTAAGCTCCCTCCTATCACCGCGACCATGACCTTTACTCCCCCAACCGCAACATCAACACCATCTTCAACTGGGACTCCGGGTGATTCCAATGGCAGCGACGGCGGCAACAAGCTTAGTGGTGGCGCCATAGCTGGTATTGTTATCGGCTCGCTCATTGCAATTGCCCTCTTGGCTCTGGCGATTTTCTTCTGTTTCCGCGTCATGCGCCGCCGACGCGGAAGCCAGCAAGGCAGCATCTTTAATCAACCTTCTCCGGCTCGAAAGGGTCCTTTGATGGCACAAGCTAAGCAGACGGCCCCGGAAGGATATGAAGTTCTACCTGGTGGTCGCGTGGCTCGTATGGCAGCGTTGGAAGGCCATTCTGGCGGCTCACCCACGCAACGAAGCGGCAACAATGGCGTCACTGCTTTCGTAGGTGATGCTCCTCGCAAGGGAACCGATACCCAGTCCTCCTCTGACGAGTATGCTGAATCTCCCGAGCGTGGAGGCGTTTTGCGGCCGCCGCCAACATCTAGAAGACAAGGGTCATTGTCAAGCGGCTCTGCTCTCGGAAGCGATGGCCCACAATCGCCGGGCAGTGCTGGATATTCTTCACCCCTTGGTATGGCTAGCCAACAGTCGGAGCAACTACCGTTTTTCAAAGACTACTATTCCCAGGATGATATCCATCCTTCCGACAAGGTGGCGGTTCTTTGGGCATATCAACCTCGCGCTGCCGACGAATTCTCTCTTGAGCGTGGCGATATGATCAAGGTGGTTGGAATTTGGGATGACGGCTGGGCCACAGGCATCATGCTCGATGAACGTGCAGATGAGTGGGAAGTTAGACGACAAGCCCAACGGGACAGTGGCGTGTCGAACACATCGGGCATTCGCGATGAATCGCCAGAAGCCCAAGGTGAAATGAAAGCATTTCCATTGGTGTGTGTCTGCCTGCCAGAGCACTGGAGAAAAACAATAGAAGGCGACGGTTCTACAGAATCTGCGTCAAGTCCAGGGCCAACGGTACCAACCAGTATTTCATGATATTAGGGAGCTCAGACTCCTTCCACCAAATCCGACTTTGCGACAGTTTCGTCTCCATGTACATATCGAACTGCTTGCACCAACCCTGCTTGTAGCCAGTTGCAGCTGCACCTCTGCACTACAGCAGCTCATCATTTCGCTATCTTAATCGCAATGTTGAGCGATGTACATAATCTGTTTCTTCGACGAAATCAACCGCAGCCTTTCAGCATCACGACAAATGAGCGAGCGTCCGACGTCCTAGTCACTATCATGCCTGTTGCCGGAACCTATTCATTGGCCGTTTTCATGTGCGCGAGTAATTTTGACGAGATACATCAGGCGCGAATAATTGTAATTCTTTTATTACCTCCGATCACTTGGTCTATTATTCTTGATTCGAGTACCCATATGAGCATTAACTGGCGTTACGTCGAGGCCGAGGCGAAAGACAAACAGCATGAATGACTGGTGGTCGAATAATGTTTGATAATTAACTTTGCCTGCAAGATGGCACAATTCTACCGGGGACTCGCCATCCGTTGCGATTGTTATCGTAGCGGTGGTAAGAGGAAGTGCTTGGAGGTTCGAAGAATATATTTCACGGCCTACATGAGGCAATACCTGGACATAGTCATACGAGAGGAGACGCAAACTCCTGATTTACTTACGTAGTTTAGATACCAATGGATACCTTCCTGAGACGACACAATTCTTTGTGACCTGTTTGTAGCGGTATGGGTGATATACCATTGATTTGAGTTCTCTTAGGCCATATACGATAAGGCTATTTATAAGAGAGGCGGCCACGGTGCCATCCTGCCATGATTGCATTCCCGTCAGACTGTCTATTTCAAAGGCGTAGGTTTCGCCGCTAGCAGTTCATAATAGTATTGCCGGCTTTTACCGTTGCCGGCTTGGTCAACGACTATTTAAGGTGTAAAAGCTTCGTTGGTGGCCCAATGGTGGGTGCCCAGGATTGAATACCAAGCAATTGCTTCGGGGCACGACATGACAATGGCAAGCATTTGAATATGTGGCCGAACGTATTGCACCGTTGGCTATTTGGAAGTCTTTTGATTTGGAGACCTGGAGAGGCCTGACTTTCCCGAGGACATACAACCCAGTGCCATTGTTTGCAGGGCACCGCTGGTTCTCTCTGATTCGTAAATAGCAGCTTGGATACCTCATGGCTACTGCAATCAACTCGGCGACCCTGGCACTGGCTCTGCCACGGAGTATTCATTGACGTCGGTCATCTGGGGAACATTGAACCTGGAGCTCACCGACTTACCCGCCCCCGGCAGGCACCATAGCGGGGCTCGAGGGATAGAAGGCAGAACGAGAGAAGTCAACAAAAAGCTACAAATTACCACCCACCAACTCTACGTCTCCGAAGCTCCGTGGAACCAAATCGACGAAGCGGAATCCACCAAGATCGATTGAAGCCGCATTGTGCGTCCCTACGGCCTCCAGGAGCTCCAGCCCACCGGTCATCTGCTCCCGCTGTAGACGCAGCTCAGCACAATGGCCGAGTTCAACGCCCGGGCTGAAGCCCTCGTGCCCAAGTTCCAGCTGGAACGCGTCCTCAACCAAGGTACATCGCTTTCGTGCACCTTGACCAAGCGAAGACTGCTTAACCGTTTTAAAATTTTGCAGACCAGGCGGGCAGACGGACATCCATGTACGGCACCATCGACAAAGAGCCCGCGCTTCTCGTCGTCGAACGTGCCCCGTTCCCTACATCCGACAAGTATCTCGGCCGGATCCCGTCCTCCCTCGCTAGACTAAAGAACCTCGGCGCCAACGACATATACAGCTGGAGCATGGCACGGACAGGCAGCGACGACGAAGAGGAGTCCAACAAGGAAAAAGCAGGCTTCTTTGCCGATTTAAAAATCAACTTGATCTACCCATGCACAGAGACACATGTTAAAAAGTACAGCAAGCAACACGTTCGATTTGTTACGGAAACGCCAGAGATATATAGAGACAGTATTAGACCGTACATGCAGAGCAAGCGAGACCAAGGAAGACTAAACTGGGTATTCAACATTATCGAGGGTCGAAAGGAAGTAGAAGACGTCATTTATAGAACGAAGCTGGGGGAAGCGGGCGACGAGGGCTTCCTCCTCCTGCCCGACCTAAACTGGGACCGTAGCACGCTAGAAGCGCTGCACCTTCTGGCGATTGTGGAACGGCGCGACATTTGGTCCCTGCGAGACCTAAAGAAGAAGCATATCCCTTGGCTGGAGCACATGAAGAACAAGCTCATCTCCGCCACCGTCAAGACGTATCCATCCATCGAACCGGACCAGCTGAAGCTCTACGTGCACTACCAGCCCACGTACTACCACTTTCACATTCATATTGTCCATGTTGCGCTCGAGGCTGGCGCCACTCAGGCGACGGGCAAGGCTTTCGGGCTCGATGTGGTTATAGAGATGCTCAAGGTCATGGCTGGGGATGAAGAGGCAGGGATGGATGCTGTGTCAATGACGTATACTCTTGGCGAGGCCAGTGAATTATGGACAGAAGTATATGAGCCGCTTAAGAAGAGCGGTAGAGCTTCTCGATAGCAAGAACAAGATCGTTTACGCCTGGCCCATGAGGACAGTCCTTCCATTCTCCGCCGTCTCGAATGCAATAGATTTCCTCGTTGAGTCGAACCGTGCAGCTTATGGTAACATTGGCCTACGCAGATCAGTCAGTTGTTCTCTGGCTACTTTGCTATACTGACAATGGTATAGTATGGCGCATTGTCTGCAGAATCGATTACTTACGTCCGTGGTCCGCTGGATGCTGTTTCGCAAAAGACCCATGCCATAGGCACCGTCATCTCTGGCGGCGCACTCGTTGAGAGCTCTAATATCGATAGCGTGCTCTAATGCGCAGTCTTCGACTAAAGCCCGCTCGGGGATGTGTGGATAGTCCTTGGTCAAGCACATAATAAAGCCGAGGTTGATCTTTGGGTCCGGGTAGAGTTCGCGTGCGCAGAGCTCGATGATGTTGCCCATGCATTCAGACGGTCCATGCTTGCACTCGACGCCGTCGTCGGCCGTTGGACTGTTGTTCCAGATGCATTAGTTTCCGGATATTCCGCACCGCTGGACTAAGGGAAGAACGTACGTTCCAATATAATTAAGCTTAAAGTCAACCTTGTCATACACCCGCTGCATCGCAGGAAGGATCAGCTCCCTCAAAGCATCCTAATCGGAGTATTAGTAACAGCCGAGCCGACACGGGTTAAGCTTGTTGTCTATGCGCCGTTGCACTTACTCTAGTATCTGGGCATTTACTAATGATATGAGCCTCCAGAGGCACTAGATGGGTGATGCCTGGGCTGGCGAACTTGTACCGGTATGAGATATCATAGACGCCCCGGAGCAACAAGATGATGGCCAACATAGGAAGCAGAAATCTGCGAAGGCGGGATATTGACGACATGGACGATGAATGCCTTAGACTCTCGCTGGAAATGCCCTGGGCCAGTTGTTGCTTGCCATCCATAGCTGGAACGACTCCTCGTATTCTTCGGCTTCGTCTACCGCGGCCAACGTCGCTGCAGATGTGCGTTTCGTCGCTTCTCGCTTCGCAAGATGCTCCCGTCGGATGGGGAGTTTCGAGTGTAGACCAAACGTCCAGGTCCTAGGTCACTGTCGCAGGGCAGCGAGGTTGTTGCAGGATCGTCTCGTTGTGCAACGGGGACGTCCTATTAGACCACACGAGCGGATGCTACCTACTACAAAGAGCAAGTGGGTTGGGGTCGGCTATTGAAGATCTGAAGGTATGATGAGTACGGAGCACAATCAGGAGGAGTTGGGTGGAGGGCAGACGAGTCGTGGGGACGGAACAAGCTTCGGTACTAGCTGCGCGCGGTGTGTTTTGCATGTGGTTGTATGCGTGCGGACCATGTACATATGGTTACGGAGTACGGAGTACTATTCCGTACAGTCCGCGTTGTCGCAGGTGTGGATGTGGATTTGGCAGAGACAGTAACATTTGGACCCGTGGCTTTGCTGTCCCATGTGTCTGGACTCCGACTCTGGAGTCGCGGCTGGTGGATTCGGCCTGAAACCGCCTGTTGGGCCGATGGAAAAAGACCATTTTGAAGCCGTGGGGATATTACCATTCGCTGAAGCTTCCGTTTATAGAGACCCGCGTGCTAGTGGCTGACAAGTTATGAGGCGTCTTGCAATAGTCGAGCATTTGTTGATTGTCGGTTCATCTTTTGTCGAAGACGAACGACTTTTTTCTTTGCACATGTAAATTCCTTCCAAATCCGTGACGGTCCATATGTATATTTGCAATATGAGTGTCAATATGAAACCCCTCAGTTAATCACTCCGTGGTACGACCATCAAACGCATGCTGCGGATCTGGATGTCGGATCTGGGAAGATGAATATATTCATACGTACATACCTTGGAACATGCACATAGAATACATATGACTTACCTAGGTACTTAGCCCTAGGACTGGCTGAACTTCCTAGGTACGGAGATTGACCTACGAAGGAAATAGCGTGGCTGCCGGGGAGACAAACACGAAACGCTTCATATTGGACAGAAAATTGCATGATTAGACTTAATGTTCGGGAGAGCGCAGTATTCAGTTGTGAGCGGGATATACACCACCACGTATTCCGGGCCTCTTTCCTGTTGTTAGAATCTATGAACGGCGTGTTTTCCTACTCGCATCCGGATAATGAAAGAATGCCCCCAAACAAATCAAGTCTGGTTGACTTCTGCACAAAGCAAGACGGGGAGATATTATCATAATGCGGGGGTCGCAGCAGGTATCATCCATGGTTCTTCCAGGCTTCCCTTTCGTGCTGGTCCCACGTTGCATCTGCAAAAACCTTAGGCCCCTTTGTTGCCCCTCCCTAATGGTCCTCTTCGTGATGTCGGTGAATCAACCGGACGCTTGACTTGAGCCAACAGTTCATCAGAACTCCTGGTTCGTTATTAATGCTGGCTCCAGCTTGTTTCTCCAAGCCCCGCATCGCTGGCGGATCGTCACAGGGGTCTTGGCTCATTCATCTGCGAAGCAAGCTGAGTTTGGTGAGTCGTAGGTGGTAGTACTTTGGTATGAAGGGAGTGGCCACTCAATGGCATGTTGAGCTGTTTGGCGCCCGCTGGCAGTGTGGCAGCATCCAGATGCTGAATATGAATGCCCTGATGGAGCCGGTACAAGGCTCTAACCCTCCCTTTGTCACGCACGCCCTCACTCTCTGTCGCGCTCTCTCTCTAGTGTGGGTGCAACTTTGTGGCGTGGCCTTGTCACCACCCCATCTCAACAGGGAGCACTCGAGGAGCGAGCAAGGAGCACAGGGTATTAATATCCGATCGCGCGCCTTCGATCTTTGTTTGGTGGTGCCGTAACGCCGCAACGGAGGTTGGTTCCATCGATCAAAGATCCTACCTCGGAGACTGGGTTGGCAAACATGAAAGTCAGGGTCGACTGCTTCCCTTGAACGAGACATCGCACTCTCTGCCTCGTTCGCTCAGGTGCTCCTTCCGCTTCGCCGTCACGGACTCATGGCCGTGAGTGGCACCTGCCGTTGTTGGTCATCACATATCAAATCGAATCAAATCGCTTGTATCGGTTGACCAGCTATTATCATGGCTTCGACACCGGAGCAATTGGCTCTCCTTGGTGCCTTTCTGGAACCCATGAGCATTGACGTCCAAAAATGCCACGTCCTATCGGAGCGATTTTTGCAAAACTTTACCCATCTCTCCGCAGAGTCCTTGGATCAGTTTTTGCCGACCCCCATCTCCGAGTCCATTTTACGCCCTGTGGAAGACTATGGCCACGGACGGTAAGTTGCCAATCTTGTTCAACTTTTCCTTGTCACTTGAAATGCCACGGATACTTTGAAGGAGCACCATTTCTCCTCACCTAATCAACTTCAACATGTCAATTTGAACAATGCTGCACTTCTTCCAACCAAGCACCTAATACTCGAGCTAACAAATTTCCGTTATGCAGGCACCTTGCTATCGACATGTAAGCATGTGAAGCTCCAAAAAAATGATAATTTGGAAGTATTGGCGTCGTTCTGTCTAGCTAATCTCATCGCAGCGGGGGGACCAATTTGAGAGTTGGCTTTGTAGAATTGCTGACAGTTGAATCTGCCATATCTGCAAGCCATTGCGCCATGACGACAAGCAATGGCATCAATGGGATAAACGGTGCAACTAGCAGCAGTGACGAGGACCAGGCTGTCCCAACATTGCCCACGGGCCGCTTACACCGACAGCTGGAGAAGTCATGGCCAATTTCAAATCATCTAAAGAGCGACAATGCTGACAGTCTCTTTCTTTGGATTGGAAAGTGTATTGCCGAGGTCGTTGAAGAAGGATGCAAAGCATTCAACCTCTCCATCGAGACACCACTCCCCCTTGGCATCACATTTAGTTTCCCGGTCGAACAACCATCACTAGAGAAAGCAATTATTTCCTCCATGGGCAAAGGCTTTGCCCTCCCTCCCCATGTTGACCTTGGAATACGCCTTCAAGCCGCGTACGATAAGCACAGAGGCGACAACCTGCCGCCCATTTATGTTGCCGCCATTGCTAATGACTCGGTCTCCACGCTAATATCCTTCATCTTCAATTATGACAGACTGGCCCACCGTCGTGCCGCAATGGGTCTGATACTGGGAACTGGGAGCAATGCTACAATTCCTGTTAAGCTCAGCCTTCTTCACCCTAGCAAACGGCCTAAAAACGTGAATGTTCTGCCTGGCGAGAAGGTAGAAGATGCGAAGATCGCGGTGAATACCGAATGGAGCATCAACGGAACGGCACCGCCGATGCGCGATCTTGGGTTGATTAGTGGCTGGGACGATGAGCTCAGTGCGAAAAATGAGAAGCCGGGATTTCAACCTCTGGAGTACATGACGGCTGGTCGATATCTTGGAGAGCTTGGACGCATCATGCTGGTCGACTACATGACCAGCAGACTGAACGTTGGGAGAGATTTGCTACCACCAAAAATCTTGGAACCGGATAGTCTGACGACGACGTTTTTGAGTCACTTCAAGCCGCTACAGCCCACCGCCCTGTTATCAACTCTGAAGACCGAGTTTCCAGAACCGTCGGGCTCCCAATTCGTTTGGACGGAGCATCATGCCGAGGCATTGTATCGTATTTCCAAGGCCATTGAAGTGCGGGCGGCCGGGATTATAGCAGCGGCCATTCTCGCGTTGCTCACTCTCGGGGAAGAAATTCCTGTTGATGGGGCATCTCCGATTCCAACGTCAGAGATTCGCGAGTTGGGGGTCGGCTATACTGGAGGCTGTATTGTGCACTTCCAGGACTATTTGGTGGACTGCCAGCACTTTGTGGACCAGCTTGTCAAGAAGAGATGTGGGAATAACTTCCCTCTTAGAGTGACAATGAATCCATGTCACGACGGCGGAATTACAGGTGCTGGAATCTTGGTTGCGGCGGCCCTCTCGAGTCAGGCGTCACAAACGTGAAGAGAGAGCCTTTGTTCGCATCTCCCCTGGGAATTGTACCTTATTCGGTCAGAACAGCTTCATCAAGACCAGAAGTACACACGTGATACGGAGTTCTAGTAGGACCCGGATGACTGGATGACCTGGCTCAGTGTGCGGGCCGGATGCGGCCGCGAGACAGTGCCTCGAGCGAGGAATTGCCCAACCAGAGCCGCACAGATATAAGGACCGGATCCAGTAAACACGATAGACAGCAGAGACGATGAAAAAAAAAATTGCATAGATAATATTTGACTAGTCATTATTGCACAAGATACACTTTAGTTGCCATTGGTGACTCAGGCCGGGGTGGGTGAGACATGCGCCCGGCGGGCAGCAGGAGGAATTATCCGGGCCTTACTACTCGGTAGGACGAGCTGTAAGAGGTCGGGGAATCGCAGGGCGCACGGAGTACATACATGAAAGTAAGCTTCAAATTTGGAAGCGGGCGTAGGCAGAGGCCGGTGGTTGGTAGTTTGTTCATGTGGTGGAATCGGAGGTAGAGCGAGAAGAAGGGGGGGAACATTGAAAGGTTATTGCATCTGAAGGCCGCATCCACTTCGGCATCTCCAAGACGGCCGAAGACGGCCTTCTCCTTCACCGCCGCCAATCCTGGCGATCCGAGGAATCGCCCAACGGCACAAAAGCTTCCCCAAGCCCAGATCAATACTGGATCGGCGCTCTCATGCCAAGATAATGGAGGCTTCAACAAACGCCGCCGCCGCCGCCGGTCCAGCCGCCGTGCGCGTGCCGGGCCATTATCGCAGCATCAACAGCCATGCCACCGACGATGCACCGGATATTGACATGCTCTCCCGCTCTCTGCCGACCTCTGGTCCCCTTCTGGAGCCGGAGCCAGCAGATCTGGCCATGCTGCGGCCTGTAACATCAAATCAATCGTGTACCGGCCGCAGTCGTGACCACGAAGAGGAGGGCGTACCAAACGGAGCCGCGCCGTCTGAACGATCACCGCTTCTCCGTCCACGCGCTTCCGTCTCTGGTCTTTCCACGAGCTCCAGTCTGACTGATTCCGAACCCGCCCTCTTCTTGAACGGCACTTCGCCCTCACACTTTTGGTACATCTTCTCGCAGATTCTCACGGTCCACTTCATCGGGTGCTTCGACGGCACCATCATGGCCTCGTCCCATCCCGTCATCACGTCGTACTTTGGCGCTGCCAACTCCGCATCCTGGCTGTCCACGGCATTTCTACTGACATCTACTGCTTTTCAGCCGCTGCTGGGACGCTTGTCTGACGCCGTGGGCAGAAAACCCTTGTTCCTGGGGTCCTTGGGCGTCTTTGGCCTGGCCACGCTGTGGTGTGCGTTGGCGGACAGCATCGAGTCTTTCGTAGCGGCGAGAGCATTCTGCGGCCTTGGCGCAGGAGGAAGCATGACGGTCGGGAGTATAATCACGAGTGATTTGGTTCCCATTGAGTGTGTATTGCCTGGAGCTTGTGTGCTGGCCAGGTTGATTTGCTGACGCTTTGTAGACGCCGAGGGGCCTACCAGTCCTACATGAATATCATCTATGGAGTGGGCTCGGCCCTTGGAGCTGCTCTTGGTGGCGCAATGGCAGAAGCACTTGGCTGGAGATGGGTGTTCGGCATCCAGATCCCTCCCTTGGTCACCTGCCTGTGCATCTCGGCCGTGGCTATACCGGTTGACTTGGGCATCATGGGGGAGAGGAAGACGGTGATGCAGGCCATCAGAGAGTTTGATGGCAAGGGGTCGCTGCTCCTAACTGTTGCCATTTCGTTTCTCATACTTGGTCTGGTAAGCTGTTGATTCCTGCGGCCTTGTGTTTGTGGCCTTGGCTGACTCCATGTGTTGTACAGAATCTCGGCGGGAACGTGATGCCATGTAAGTGAGCACAACAGAAGGCGTGTAGTCAAGATGGGACAGGACAACAACTGACAAATTGCAGGGTCTCATCCATTTGTCATTGCCTCGCTCATCATCTTTGCCGTCTGCTTCCCGGCATTTATATGGATCGAGTCCCGCGTCTCCAAGCCCATCATGCCGCTGCGTCTCATTCGAGAGTCTCCGCGCTCAAATCTCGTCTTTTCCAACGCCATCGCCGCCTTGCTCTCCAACGCCATCTTCTTCAACATGTACGTCCCCAACCGATGCATCTAACCTGCTTCGTAGTATTCCCGAGAAAAATCCCTCCCTGTAGTTGATTCAAGAGACAGGTTGCCACGTCGCTAACTCGACGCCCAAAATAAAAGTCCGCTCTACTTCCAAGCCGTCCTCCTCATGTCCGCGACTGACTCTGGCCTCCGCCTCGTTGCACCCACTCTCGTGTCCTCCTTCATCGGCGCCCTCACCGGCTTCGCAATAACATGGACGCGCCGCCTCAAGTGGCCCCTCGTCTGCGGAGCAATCAGCTACCTCGTCGGCACAATCTGCCTCTTCTCCCTGCGCCGCAGCCTCCCCCCCGTCGCCTACTTCCTCACGCTGCTCCCGTCGTCCATTGGCGGCGGCTTCCAGTTCCCAGGGACCTTCATGGCCATCCTAGCCTCGTCGCCGCAGTCCGAACAGGCAGTCGTGTCGAGCACGCTCATCCTCTGGCGCAGTCTCGGCATGGTGCTCGGCATAGCCGTGAGCAGTCTGCTGCTTCAGAACGCGCTCGTCTTTTACCTCGAGGACTATGTGAGCGGCGAGCTGAAGGATGCCGTGATTCGCCGTGTGAGGGCGTCGGTCGAGGCGGTCGCGCAGCTTGACGAGCCGTATCGGGAGCAGGTCATCAGGGCGTACGAGTCGTCGCTGAGGTTGACATTTGGGTTTTGCATCTTCATGGCCGCCATCTCGGTGGCGTTTGTCATGCCCATGAAGTTGAAGAGGCTGCCTGCCAGGAAGTACGTCAAGAAGAATAGGGTCAACTAAGCATTCGCGTTCCAGTTTGTCACGGGGCAAAGGGAATAACCCACGTCAAGCGTCGATGCTGGTTGCACACAAGTGGCTTTTGGACATCGCGTCACCTCGGGATAGAAGGAGAGGGTTACAGAATGCTTTTTTTTTTCGAGGGGCGCAAATTTATTTCTCAGCATATTGCTTCATGGGGCATATAAAATTACAATACCAACTAGTTTACTTTGAATACATAATATGCATTGCTCCCGATACCAATCAAATTCCCCCCTGTTGGTTACCCCTTTTCAATGGTATCCATTTCTCCCATCTTCCCTCAAGGCGGACAATTCATCTCTCGCCTTCCTATACTCCTCCTGTGCCTCCCTCTCCCGCTTAGTAACATACATGACTTCTTCTCTCAGTGCCTCCAATCGCCTGTCGATGGCCACATCCTCGGATATGGCTAATGTTTTGAACCCGCTAAGAGCGTTCCTAGCCTTTTCCAAGGCGTCCGTAGCATCGCTGATCTTGTCCTTGAGCATCTTTTGTCGCTTTTGGTATCCGCCGAGATGAAGAGCCAACTTCTTCTCCAGCTTGGCTCCTTGCTCTGCTGAAGCCATGATCGAATCTTGAACGGCCTGCGAAAAAAAGGAAAAAAAAAGGTTAGTTTCCTCAAGAAGCCAATCATTGTCACCATAAAAGGGGGTGGTGCAACTTACGTCAAATGCAGCTCGCATAGCGGCCTCCTGCTCCTCTTCGTCATCGTTATAGCACCCTAATCCTAGCAGCATCGAGTTCTTTGCTCGGCTCTCGAAGAAATCTTGGATCTGCTCTAAGTCGGGACGGGGCTTTGTCTCAGACAGAATCAGGAGGCGAGCGTCTGCAAGCGCGTCATCATCAAAACGCTCAATGGGCTTGTAGATGCCTTTGACTTGCGAATCCGTCACTGGATATTGAGCTGCGTCATTGGCCATGAGCAGTGCGGTCTCTCTGGCAATCATTGCTTCTGCAGCATTTTGGATGCTGTCGGCTTTCTTGAGCAACATGGTTAGGTCGACAATCGACGGTCGTGGCAAGTCTTTCTGCATGACTTGTGTCCTTCGCCTCCGCTCCAGTTCCTCCTCTGCGGCACGTATTGCCTGCTCCCTACGGTCCCGTTCTGCAGCATCTTCTTCCACTGTGTCGTCTGCTCGCGCCGTTTCCTGTTCCTCATCAGGAATCTCAAACTCCCATTCGGTATCCTTGGGCTTGGGGAGCGATGCAAGGCCCGATCGTAGTTGATTTCGCATGGCGAGGTCGTGCATCTTGATATCACGAGGTGTGGCCGAAGGCATAGGCATGCCGTCTTCTTGGTTCAGTGAAAAGGTATCACGCGGTGTACGCATCGGCGTTTGTCCAGGGCGGCTGGGCGTTTCTCCGACGCCTGCCCCGGATCGTAAGGGAGTTGCAAGAGGATTCGGCGTCGCCATAACTTGTTTCCTGGGGGCAATACCCTCGAAGCCAGTTGAACCTGCTCCCTCATATAACGGAGTATTCTCACCCCCCAATAAGGCCGACTTTGTGTCGTTTAAGGCACGGATATTTCGAATCTCATTCGCAATATGGTCCTCTTGTTCCGGAGCCTTGGGCGTTCGTATCGGCGCGCCGGTGTTAAGCGTAGAATATGAACTAACAAAACCTCTCGTGGCATCATTATCGCTTTCTCTAGCCACCGCATTCGCAGCCTCACCCATCTTACCCATCTTGATGATGTCTTCCAGTTCGCCCTCGCTAACTTGTGGTGCAGGTAGGTTTAGAGGTCGGCGCTTGCTGCTTTGCTCGGCCTCTCGAATCTTCTGCATTCGGCCAGCCTTTATGGCTGCCTTTTGTGATTCAGACAGCCCCTCCTTTTCATTTTTCCTCCTCTTACGGTCGCCATCATCGTCATCATCATCATCGCCCTTTCGTTTCGTAGCCAGATTCAGCTTCTGGGGATCAAACCCTCTGAGTTGTGCTTCGTTTTGTGTTTTCTCCTCAGACGTATTGTAAAACCCGGGTGCTTCCTTCTTCTCAAATGGAATGTCGGCATTGTAGTCCATCTCACCCTTTTTCCGAGTGATGACCTTGATGTTGATACCAGCCGTCTTGAGCTCTCGGCGTTTTTGCAAGGTCGCCAAACGACGGGACTCCTCTTGCTGGCGCTCTCTGGCCTTTCTTTTCGCCTTTTTTCCCTGCGTATTGGCCAAACGGGCTCGAGCCTCGCTCAGCATTTCCTTCTCATCTTCGTCGAGGTCGATGGTATCAGGTCGAGCAGGCTTGGATTCGGGATCGGGATCGAGTTCGCCAGGGCGCAATCTTCTGACATCGTCCGCGCTGGGTGCTTGCGTCTCGCCGCCATCAGGACCCATCAGTCCCAGGCTGGACGACTCGCGCGCTTCGGCCTCGTCGAGCAGCTTTTGGTATCGTTCGAGACACTGGTTAGCTGTGCGGCCGACAATGGGAGCTATCGTCCGCCATTGCGTGGGCATGATCTTGGCGAGGTGCAACAGCTTTTCGTCCTCGTCCTTGCTCCATTCTATCTTCTTGATGCTGGGGTCCAGCCATTCGTTCCATCGTGCCTTGCACTGCTTGGGCGTCTTGCGCGCCAACAGAGACGACACGCGTGCCCATTGGTTCAGGCCATACTTGGAGACGGAGGCCTTGAGGATCTCATCCTCAATATTTGTCCAAACACCTCCCTTGACGACCGGCATGATGAACAAGCGCGGGATGCGGTGCGGCGGCGATGGGTGACGACGAATGCACTGCGCTCCTGCAGACCTGGCCTGGTCATGCGATTTGAGCTTTGGAAAATGTTGGAGGCCGATACTAGTCGCTCCGAGTTGCTGAGTCATGCATGACCAGGCGCTGATTGGTTGGCGGGCCCTTGCTCACAGAGGGACGTAAGTGCCCAGGTCGTTACTCCGTACCATTATCCATCTTTAGTCACCAAGTTATCACAGTAGTTGACATGAATTGATATTTGACTGTCAATGCCAGCCAGTTGAGCTTTAACGCCAATAGTGGAAAACCCTTCAGTCCAGTCCAGTTCCCCGAGGCTCCAGCAAACCGCGCGCAACGTAGAGCATGAGCGGTCTTGCACCAGCATTCAATGCCGATGATGCCACAGCACGCATCATTGATCACGACAGCACGACACCACAACCTTGCTGCATGAATTCTACAGCTAGAACGCATTGATGCATTGTTCAGTCATGCCCACGTCATCTGCATTTACGCCAGCTCACTTCCATCGAGCCTCCCGCAATCCATGCAACCCTCGATCTGGACAGCTGGGGTAGGGTACCCGCCGCCCCGACACTACTGAAGCCCTGCGGACTTTGTCGAACCCATTTGTTATCGTGCGTCCCAACCCCGAAGTCATAGTATATCAGAACGTTGATTATTAACGGTTCCCGGGCTCTGCAAGCGCGGAGTTTGGCTCCATCCTAAAAACGCCTCGGAACGCCTCGTCGGCCCAGCATACCCAATCCCGGCTCCGCCAGCACCAGACATGGACCGTTAACACTTGCGGTGGTGCGATAGACAATTGTGTCTTGGTGGGCAGCAATCTGGCTCAAACCTTGCATGAAACCATCCATCATGTATGCTTGCCGTTGGTTGGGTGTCGCGCTCCCATCCGCATTGCATAAGCCAGGCACACTTGGAATGTTCAATGCCCTGCTCTGTCATCATTCGCACCAAGGGCAAGCAGAGCATTGCGCTGGTGCTTCGCGCAACGGGGCCCTGAAACTGCCCACGGAGTAACGAATGCCGACTCCTGCTTGCTTTCATCAATTATCCGTAATCAATGGTGTCGCGTGGGCCCCTGGACCGTGCTTGGACGTTTTAGTCCGCCTCCCGTGCCGACGGGAGGGCACAATCAATGCATAGAACGAATACCCCAGACAATATCCTGGCCAAGAAGATACTTATTGACGCGTAACTGCCCGCCGACTCCCCACTAACCGGTGGTCACTGTCCCGCCTGGTTTCATCGCCAGACCATTCATTCCAGGTGATATCCATTGAATGAATGCCTGGGTCCCTCCCGTCTGTCTCCAGTCCACCGCCCACTGCATATCAAGCTCAGACATCCCAACCCCCGGATCCTTTGTTTCTTCTCATCTTTCCTGGTTATTAACAATCCATGTGCCCTCGACCTCTTGCTTTTCACAGAACTCATCGCCAGCGGTCCTGCGACATGGGCTTGCGGACACAAATCCATCTATTACCACTCCACGCTACCGAGACACAAACCTGCCTGATTAGTCTGGTGGTTGTCCGTAGCTGAATTTCGATTGCATCCTTGGCCTACAAATATCCATAATCGACTAGCTTTCACGGGTATTTGGTGTGCTTGGTGCGCCTCTCGACTTTACATTTCCAACATGGTGGCACTTCGCGACGGCTCAAAGGCGCAGGGTGAACTTGAAGATGATTCGGATTTGATCACAGCAGACCCCACCGAAACAACCCATCTTCTGGCTACGGGCGTCGAAGAGAACGACAATATTGTCACTGCAGGCGGTGTCAAAAGTACCAATGGGGGCTGGGACGGTCTGGCTGACTTTGAAGGGTTGCCTTGGTGGCGAAGGCCGTCGGTGAGTGCTCCAACTACAAACCTAGGTAAATGATCTCTTTAACCAGACGGGTCTAGGTATTTTGGTTGCTGGCGCCGTATTCAGTCTTTACCCTTGCTTTTGGAAGTGTCATTGTACCAAAGTTGAATTTGTAAGGCACCTCTTCAACCCGCACATGTTTGCGCAAGAGCCCGTCTTGCGCGTCGTGATGTTGGTTAACATGATTGCTCATAATTCATATAGGATTCTCGGCTTGGTATGTCAGCATTATTTTGCAAGCCAAAGCCATCTGCATCCGGATCTACGAGTCAATCCCATCACCATCGGTGCCGACAACCCTCAATGCAGAAATCCAGAGGTTCAGAAGCGCGTCGCGACCTTCATGCTGGTCATGAACTTTTGCACTGGTTTGCTTAGCGCCTACGCTGCCCCTCGGCTTGGACACTTATCCGATAGATATGGTCGTCGGCGATTACTTGCTCTGGCATCCTGTGGTGGGTTGCTAGGCGAAATCATAACCATTCTCGCCGCCAAATTTCCCGAGACTGTTGATTATCGTTGGTTGATCCTTGGATCCATCTTCGATGGGATGACCGGTTCCTTCACGGCTGGAAACATTCTGACTCAATCATATGCTAGCGACTGCACACCGCCATCCAGACGTGCTGTGGCCATTGGCTATATTCATGCCTGTCTCTTCACAGGCTTGGCCGTGGGTCAGCTCTTGGGCGGAGAAATCGTCAGGTTGACAGGAAGCTTGGTCTCAATATTCTACGTCTGCCTCGCGGCTCACTCCTTTTTCATCGTGTTTGTCGCATTTGTCATCCCTGACTCGTTGTCTAAAAAGAAGCAGCTGGCCGCTCGCGAGAAGCATCGCAAGGAAGAGGGGGAACGCAGAGCACGACGGACATCTTGGTTTTCGTCGGTGCAGGAGAGAAACCCTTTCTCGTCTCTCTCTGTTCTGTGGCCCCGGGGTCGAGGAACCTCGACAAGACTTCGCCTCAACCTCGTAGCCTTGGCCACTTGCGATATGATCATTATGGGAACCGCCATGGCCGCCGGTCAGGTGATAATACTTTACGCTGAGTATGTGTTTGGCTGGCAGACTCCCGAAACCTCGCGCTTCGTCGCCGCCGCTTCCTTCTTCCGGGTTATTGTTCTGATGGGCATCTTCCCGCTCATCAACTACTTCTTTCGAATCCGCCCTGCTGCCAAGAGAAGACGGGAATCTGGCATCACTCCTGTGGATAAGAACAGCGGGGCCGACCATTTGGACATATGGATTCTCCGCATTGCCTTACTTTCGGACATTTTGGGGTATATCGGGTACACCTTTGCCAGGGCCCCCGTGCCTTTTGTCGCCTCTGCCCTTATGACTGCGTTCGGCGGACTTGGAAGTGCAACTAGTCAATCTGTTGTTACGAAGCACATTCCTCATGACAAGGTTGGCAGAGTTCTTGGTGCAATCGGCATGCTCCAAGCTCTGGTCAGAGTCGTTGGGCCAGTGACGTTCAACGGTCTATACGCTGCGACGGTCGGTAGCTATCCACAGGCTATTTTCGTCGCTCTTGCTGGTCTATTCTCGTTTGCTTTGCTCTGCAGCTTTATAATCACGCCGTTTGGTAAGTTGAGGTGATGTCGAGATGCTAAGACGTTCCGCCACTAACTTTGAACCATAGTTCATTGGCAGGAAGACCATGAAGAAGAGGAGGAGCGTGAGCCGCTCAATGGATCTGCACCACAAGCAGTTGGCCCTGCTGGTACTGGTTTTCCTTGCGATGAGGATGAAATTCGGTACTGATGTTTCAAGATGCGGCATACCTTATACCCTTTTCTACTCGTGCTTCTACCAACTCATAGATCTTCATATATATACCGCTACAGTTGTGGAGCTTGAATGTAGATTGTACATAATTCGCCAGAGGGCACACACTTAACTCTCGATATTAGCCAATAATACGAGCCTTGGCCTCGGAAGCCTCAAAATGACACATGACGATAATATGGAGAGTTGCAGTCTAGGTATCAGTCACGAATTCTTGCGGAGATGCATTACAGGGTGAGCATCGGCCCATTCGGTTGCACCTCACTGTGCACATGATGTATATACTTGATACACTAATACACGCTTAAACTCACCTCTTTTGCCTCCCGGCCCTCGAACAATTCGCTCTATCGTTATTGGGCTGCTCAAGACTAGCTTGGCAAACAACTTGACGCGCGGCGACCAGCTTGGGGCACTGGAGTACAGACATTTAAGCGGCTTGCCCACTTAGTCGCTGACGGGTAACTGGAGATTTTTCCAACGACCACGGTGAGAACTAGACTCTTTGGCCGTTAGCTTTGTGATGCTTTGCTGGTTGGCTGTAAGTAAAGACCAAAAACAATCTGGAGATAACTACATATGTACCTACTTGTACCTAGTAAGATCTGGGTCTGGGCCAGGGGAATAATCGACAACATTGAAAGATGGACGTACTCCGTTCAATGGTGAATGCCAACTGGCGAGCAGCGGCAAGTGGGGCATCTCTACAATAATGGAGTACTCCGTAGTCTAGTGGTTGACGGTTACCAGCCGACGCACATGCAGCCTCAGACTGGCGAATGGGGCTCAACGTAACCATTGCACTCCAGACTGCTCCTATCACAGCGTGTCCCCCCGGCGCCTCTCAAACGCCTCTTTTTTGTCTATACCGTCTGGTGTTTCCCGTCTGAATCCAGACCAGCCTAAGCATTCTTCAACTCCTGCCATAGAATGCTTCGGTCTGCGTTCGGCCTCGGCAGATATTTCCCATCGCGGTCTCTCCACAGACCCATCATGACGTCGACAAAGACAGAAGGCATGTCAATACACTTCGGGCCTTTCGAGGTCACAAAACAGGTGCGCGCCACATCACTCGCTGTGAAAACCCCAGAACTATACTCTTACAAAGGGATCCCTGACCGTCCGATGACAAGGTGTTCCTCACAACACCCCATTCGTATGCCCTCGTCAATCTCAAGCCCCTCATCCCAGGCCACATCCTCGTGTGTCCCCTAAAATCGCACCTACGCCTTACAGACCTGTCTCCAACCGAAACGGCAGATCTCTTCGGCACCGTCCAGCTCACGCAGCGAATGCTGGCGCAGAAATATCTGCCGGAACCTGGAAACCTGCTCTCGGGGAGCTTCACCGTCGCTGTGCAAGATGGGCCCGACTCCGGCCAGACTGTCCCCCATTTACACGTCCATGTGATTCCCCGTAGGAAGGGGGACGTGGGCGACAGCCCGGATGCCATTTACGTCAAGATGTCTACTGAGGATGGGAATATCGGTGGTGCCATGTGGGATCGAGAGCGTCGCCCCGCGCCCGCGGGCCGAATGCCGAGAATCGAGGACGCGGATCGTAGCCCCAGGACCCAGGAGCAGATGGAAGCCGAGGCGGACGAGTATAAGACAATTTTGAGAAATCTGGGAATAGCGTGACATTGAGAGGCTGCGGAATAGTAGCGAGGCGCATTCGGTGTGCTAGTTTGCCTAGTAATATTGTGGATCTATTCGAAGGTGTGGTTGCTTCTCTGCCATCTGTCATTTCTTTTCTTTTCTGGTCACAGGCATGGACAATTCTTCATCTAGTACGGAGTACGAGGCTAGCGGAGAAGCGTGAACGCCGAGTCTAAGCATGCGGGTGAACATCAGCATTTGCCACGGCTTTACGGAGCTCGATATAGGCGTTCAACTACCTTTGACAACCTTTGCTGGGGGACCCTTCCGTGCCGTGTCCCAAGTCTCTTCTACGAATACGAATAGTTTAGGGAGCAAAGACGGTGGCGACACGTCCATGCAACGTCCAAGAGAGTGTCCGGATACTAGCTACCGGGCATCATGTAGGTGGGCATTTGCATTCTCCCTGAACATGAAAACAGGATTATGGCGAGACAAAATTGGGAATGACCAATGACGAATTTCTGTCAACGTCCCCAAAGAAGGCTAGATGCAAGCCCAGCGTATTCAATATCGAAGCTGCTGTACAACAAGAGACAACGCCTGTACACTCATCTACAATATAGGTTCGGCAAGGGTAGAGGGAGCCGCCACCCTAGTGAGGTGCTTGCTGGTGACATGCTGGGTTTCGGTGCGTAGTTCGAAGAGCCTCGACCCGAACCAGAGTACATTTGCTGCATGGGCTGACTGCGTCTATTTTTGAATGCAGGATGCTCGTAGATGCTTGGCGAATAAACCACCTGTATCCGGACAAATAGGAAGTGCTGCGTCGCTATGCACCAGCAGCACCAAGGTCACATTGAGTTCTTCCTTTTAGTTTTGAAACAATATTCATTTCTCTGGAAATTTTCAACCTCGCCATCGGGGTAAATAGTGTTACACCATTGTCGGCCGGTCGGTCGGTCGGTCGGTCGGTACATGTGATGTGACAGGATTCTAATCTGCGTTTACGCACCACCAGAGCATGTCGGACAATATTTAGGTCACAATTGGCCGAGAATCGCGGTGCCATCGAGTGCAATCGATTCAAGGCATTCCCTACTTTCGTCTAATGGAATAAACCCAGCATCATGAGCGAGATGAATGGAACTCACGGGTGTGGACTGTAGTCGAGATCTGGGCTCTTCGCAAGAACCAGCAGGATACAAGCTGGCATCCATACGAGGCTGCAAACCACGCTGAAATTAGACAATGCACTCGTAATCCCTTTTTGTAGCTATCTCTTTAGCTACCCAATGGCTAGCGGGGCCTCTTCTGCCATACAATTTTCTTACTTACTAAAGTACCTAGGTAGGTAAGCGAGTCTCCGCGAGCCATTGGGCAGCTCAAGAGATCATGGGACTTTATCATACAGGGCACTCTGCGTCATCTAGCAAAGGCGTCCCCCTACTCGTGTCATATCTCTCTTTTCGTTGTCTCTCCAATTAGAGTTGAAAAAATGCTACAATGTGCCGCGTCTTCCGAATCACATTGGTGCATATGTATACCCAATGTCGGTTTGGAACATTGCAGATTGCAGGATGTCACACATTTGTGATGACTGATATCGACTAACGGAGAGCTGTGTGACGTTGGACGGAGGCTACTCGGGGCCCACCCAGTGCGCTTTATGAAAATATCCGGAACGGGAGCTAGTGCAGCCCCAGCCAGTATATGCTGTTAACTGCATCAAGCATAGAGGTCACATTGCGAAAAGCGGGACTGAAAAGCCACAGCAGACCAGGGTAGACTTGCGATGACGGAGGAGGGGCAAATTATCGAGGCTGGCCCCACCAAATTGTCTTTACTGCTTGGCCTGGGTTCCTGATAAGCAGCGGCTGGCTGAAAAGCCGGCGCCAGGACAGTGGTAACTATTGGATGGACGGACGAGCGCGTATGTACATGATGAAAAGTAGCGGCACCTGGGGCCTCGGCCAGTCCCAGCCCTGGCGACGGTTGAGCCCGTATCGACAGGTTTTGGTACCGTTGCAGACAACCGGAACAAGCATTCAATCTTGTTGAAGCGCTCAACCCCACCGCCGGGACGTGCGTTGCAGAATGCAGGTGATGGGCACGGAATTGACAGGCGCGAAACAATGCTTCCACGTGATCTAAGTCGCTATCACGAGCAGCGACAGTGGCCAGAAAACGGTCAGTAGGAGCAGATCAATGCCCCTCCCGATAAGAGTTGCGGTCTGGCCTCGTGCATCATACGCATCATACAACTCCGTGCTGATCTCAATCATCACTCGGCACCAGTCGTTGGCTTGAGGGGGGCGTGGCGAGCTTGGAAGTGATGCAAGCTTGGGGTTCGAGACTTTTCGTGTTCAACAAGGTCATCAAGACTCGGCTTAATGTTTCATGCAATGCAGATCATGCAAGCCAATATTGGACCATCCAGTCTATCGACAAAGGCGGTGGGCGAAATGGGAAATAAAAGCTCCTTGTCGAGGCGTGGAAATCTCTAGATATCGATATTCTTATACGCGGGCTGTAACCTCGATGTCTGTGTGGCGCAGTCCCACCCTTACTGGGATACCAAACCTCGGCCGATGAACTCGGACAATAACACGAAAGACTAGCCGGGGGACAAAAAAAAGACGAAAAAAACAAACCAGGATGACTGGCTGCGCGCGCCACTTGTCTGGTGCAACAAGGCCGGAGCTGACCTCCGCCGCCAACAATCAAGCGTGGACACAGTCACTGGTTAGTCTTCGGTCTCCGTCGATAGAGATAATGGGGATATCTATCGACAACAAGGGCTGCGGCGGGCCGCTAGACAAAGGACGGAAACGTGTTCAACAATGGTATTCAAATGCGGCAATTCGCGATGCGCCCGCTGAACTCGGCACTTGTCCTGCCAACTCGCAAGACGAAACCGGATATCTGGACTCTTGTGTTGCACGACTGAGACATTGGGGACAAGGTGAAGAGGCGAAACCGGCAAGCAAGACATGTTTCGCCTTTTTACTCCTTCCAGTCTGCATCAGTTCGCACTCATGGCACTGTCCGGCCCCACATGCCACATGCGCTAGAATTTTTGCATGGCATGTTTCTGTTTACATGCATGAACTGGTTGGTTTTTGTCCACCCCTCCCCTCCTTTTAGTTCTATCATGTCTGGTCTGGTTCCTTACTCGGTCCTTCAAGGGGCTCCACCTTGAACGCCGGTTCCTCGCCGACAGCCCGCCTTGAAATACTGACATGCCCACCGCCATCTCCACGACTTTCTCCCTTCCCCTTCATGCCTCATCTTTTCCTCCTCAGCCATCGCAATCTCTGTTGCTTTTGCCACTTTGCGTTCTGCCATTCGAGTGTGCAGAGCGCTAAATTGCAAAGCCCGTCTTTCAACGCCCAAGCTCTTCTCTTGCGTGTTCTAGGACGGTAGAGTATTCGCACCGGTTGACAACTTTTGAACAAACCTCGCCTCGCACGCCACCTCATCTCGATCTGAACAAGCATCAAAACACTGGTCTCTTCCGACGACGTGCCTGTGTCTTGTTGTAAGCTCTCACTGCGCGACAAAATCATGGCCCTAACAAAGCAGGTCAGCACCCGCAATCCAAATGATTTCCCGACTCTGCAGCTCTTTCTCCTAGGTACGTATGCCGAATCTCCGCCTCCCATCGGGTACGAAATTCAAATCTTGCGAGCAACTGCTGACAAGTCGCAGCCGTTGTTCGTCTCGCTGAACCCATTGCACTTACATCCATCTTTCCTTACGCGTGGGCTCTCGTGAAGAAGTTCCAGATTGGAAACGAACAAGATGCATCCTTCTATTCTGGACTCCTCATCTCCTCCTTCTCTCTTGCCGAGGCCCTGATGGGCATGTACTGGGGCGGCTTATCCGATCGCATTGGTCGCAAACCCGTACTGATGATCGGTTGCTTGGGGACCATGTTCAGCATGGTCATGGTAGGGTTCGCCTCCAATATTTGGATTGCTTTACTCGGTAGGGGCATTGGCGGCCTTCTCAACGGCAATATCGGTGTCATTCAAACAATGGTTGGTGAACTCGTTACCAAGCCCGAACACGAACGTAAGTTGATTCCCTCTTTTTTCCCTTGGCAGTGTTTGTTTCCCCTTCAAACACGTACTGACAGGCCACAGCTCGCGCTTTCGCCGTTATGCCCTTTGTCTGGAGCATCGGAACCATCATTGGACCTTGTATCGGCGGCACATTTGCCGATCCTCACGAGTCCTGGCCCAATGCGTTCCCCAGAGGCAGCATGTTCGAACGTTACCCGTATCTTCTCCCCAACCTCCTTTGCGCAGCTCTATTGCTCGTCAGCATTGCTTTGGGATTCGTGCTCCTCGAGGAGACTCACCCGGACATGCAACCCCGCGTGCTGTTACCCGCGGATACCTACATCTCGGAAGAGACTCCGCTGATTGAAACTTCGGATGCCATGAAGCGCCCAGCGGTAGACCTTCGAGCCGAAACGTACGGAACTCTCCGAACTGTCAACGAGGATGACGAGTGTGACAGGGGGCGAGAAGTGTATACACAAGAAAAGTCTGGTTTGACCAAGGTTTGGAATAAGCGTGTTGTTGGGTTCATCATTGCCTTATCCATCTTTACATATCATTCCATGACATACGATCACCTTATGCCAATTTTCTTCGAAGACGATCGTGCCGCCAACAAGAACACCTCCACCCTCTGGGCGATTTTCAGTTCCTCCGGTGGCTTGGGGCTCTCCCTCCGAGATGTGGGAATGATCATGGCTGTTAATGGATGCATTGCACTGTTTGTTCAGGCTGTCATTTTCCCCATCGCGGCAGAGAGAGTCGGTGTGTACAAGCTTTTCCTCCTTGTTACTGTCTTACATCCCGTCGTGTACGCCGTTGTCCCCTTTCTGCTCCTTGTCCCCGAGTCTCTCACCTTCCCCTCCATCTACATCTGCCTTGCAATTCGCAATGTTCTCTCCATCACACTGTACCCTCTCCTCCTCATCCTCATCAAAGAAGCTACACCTACATCCAGTGCGCTGGGCAAGGTCAATGGTTTGGCAGCTAGTGCTGGCGCTGCTTGCCGAATGATTGCGCCTCCCGTTGCAGGATTCCTGTACACTTATGGCAGTAAAATAAACTGCACGGCTCTGGCTTGGTATGGAAGTGTCGTTGTTGCCATTGTTGGCTCTGTGCAGTGCTTCCTGGTCCCTCGGGAGCGGAACCTCGAAATATCTGAAGAGTGTGCTTCGCGACCACCTTGCAATGAATACAATGCTCTAACAGCCGAAGTCTCGGACGAAGAGCAAGAACGAGAATGACAGCCTTTTATCATGAACTGAAATTATTCGTTATTTTTTATTCCCTAATTTTACGCTAGTATGGGATGAACATGCTGTCTTTGAAAAGACACTGTTCTGAACTATTTGCTTATTACTAATTTGGCACTCTGTTCAAAGAGTGACCATCATGTCACAGTTCCACGACGCGCGCACTTCTGAAAGTTGTTCGATGATAGCGGCCAGTCGGGAATATGTTAGAAAGCACAAGTGGGCAAAGAAAAGGTGTTAGAGGTGTCGGAGAATACCCCATGGTAGATAGTTTGGGCATGATGCATATGGACGTTGGGCGTTTGGAGCGCGGTTTTGAGAAATGTATTTACTTTTTTTGGTCTTTTGGACTTTTTTCTCCTCATAATATATGGAGGGAGATAGGTATATAGACGACATGGGGTAGTTGAAAATAAACATGACTAAAAAAAAGCAAAAGTCCGTTCACTCTGGTGTATTCAAAGGGATATACTCCGTACGCAGGAACTACATATAAATGTGGGGCCCTGGCGCAGGGTATGGATGGTGTTCGTGCTGGAAGCCTCAAGGAAACCAAAGGATGCGGAGCCGCATTGGGTGTTGCTGCACAGAAGAGTTTGGTGACTGTATTTACATAATAAAGAGCTTCTTAGACCAGTTTTTATCTGTAACTATTTGGACTATTGTCATGTGTAGCATCACATCAGTGAGGCTGCGTGAAATAATACGCTCGACCACTTGGAGAAATTTTCGCCACAACCGCAACTGGAGCACGAAATCCATCAAGTGAGACGTCGTCTCATTTCAACACTCTCCCACACATTGGTAACATCACGCTTTCTCTGCGACCAGGGGAGTGGTGCCTCTAAATTAATAAAGGCAACTCATTAAACACTCTATCAAGTCTATAATCAGCAAAGGACCCTGCGGTCGTCACCCTCCAAGAATGAAGATTGAAGAGATCGTCGATAGGATGGAAGAAGCCAGCCTCGAAGCAGAGCCCAACACCGAGCAAGCGGCAACACCAGTCCAAGATGTATCTCAACCAACGAAGCCAGAATTACCGCCCGGCATGGCATCCCACCGGAAGCAGACCTTTGACGAAATCATGGCTGACCTGAACAAGTCCCCGCTGTTCATGACCGACATGGAAGAAAACGACGACATTGCGGCCTTGCAGGCGCTCAACTACGAGGGCACGCCGCTTGAGAACGGAACCGACTTCAAGATGCGCGGAAACGAATGCTTCAAGGTACGAGGCTACGTGGACGCGAGGGAGTTCTACACCAAGGGTATACAAATTCTGTCTCTGGAGGAGCGGAAACGAGCCCGCGGCGAAGTCACCAGGAACCCCGAGGGCGTAGAGGACAGCGCCGAGGAAATCGCCGCGCAGAGAGAGGTCCTCGAGGCTCTGTACGTGAACCGCGCGGCGTGCCACCTGGAGCTGGACAACTACAGGAGCTGCTGGACCGACTGCGCAGCCGCGCTGCGTCTCAACCCGCGCAACCTGAAGGCCTGCTACCGAAGCGCCAGGGCCCTCCTGGCAGTCGGCCGCGTCGAGGAGGCCGACGACGTCTGCGCGCGCGGGCTGTCCCTGGACCCGGACAACAGGGGCCTCAAAGAAGTCGCGGGGCGCATCGTCAAACGGGCAGGGGAGCTCGACGCCAAGAACAAGAGGGACGCGGAGAGGAGGGCGCTGCTCAAACGGCGCGAGACGCTCCTCAGGGCGGCCCTCAAGGCGAGGGGCATCCCGACACGGACGACAGCCCAGCCTCCCGAGATGGGTGACACGAAGCTCGAGCTTGTGCCGGACCCAGACGACCCGCGGAGCAGCCTGGCGTTCCCGACTGTGCTGCTGTATCCCGAGCACCTTGAGTCAGACTTCATCAAGGCGTTTAATGAGACGCAAACGCTCGAGGACCACCTGTCGTACGTCTTTCCGCTGCCGTGGGACAAGGAGGGCGTGTATACCGCCGCGGGGGTGACTTGCTACGTGGAGACGATGGGAGGGGGTGTGCTCAAGATGGGGAAGCGGGTGCCGCTGTTGAAGGTGTTGGGCACGGGCAAGGTTGAGGTTGTGGATGAGGTTGTGAGGATATTTGTCCTGCCCAACGACAAGGCCGATGCGTGGGTGAACAAATTCAAGCAGCAGAAGGCCGTGGAGATGGGGAAGGGCGGTGGTTCGTGACGGGCTTTGTGTAGGTGCATGGACTGCTTTGTTTTTGACTACATGGTGTAGTGAAAGATTTTTGGTGGGCTGCGGTTGAAAAGGACGATAGAATGAGGGCATATGTAGTTTTTCTTCTCGAGGTGAAAAAAAGCTTTACCGTTAAGGAGACAAGAGTCAACACCTACGTGCACACGTCCTCTCCAATTCCAACTGCTCACTAGCACTATTTCCTTGTACCATATTTGCGTCAATCTATGATGTTCACCCCGTATTCAACACTGCCGCTTCACTTAGATGGATTTCCTCCTTCCAGGGGTCCAAACGAATGGACCTGCCTGGCTTCTACATCCGTCATCAACCACCCCTTCTCCTGCCCCCGTCACAAACGTATTGGTGGTGCCAGAGGAACCAGCCCCGCGCTCTTCCATACATTTCTGTTCGCTCAGATTGGTGCCCCTTGGGAGTCTGCTCTTCGGTAGTGATGTCCTTGTTGACTGGCTGTGCCTGGGCGTGGAGTCGTAAACACCATCGCAGGACGCATCAGAGCTCAGCTTTCGTCGTTTCCTACTCCTCGTGCTGGTTTCGTAAGATTGAGATGTCGAAGGTATTTGTCTTGACCGTCTAAGGGAAGTAGTTTCTGGGGCCCTTACAGCAGGAAAATACTCGCTGGCATGGCTTGACAATACAACTCCGCTGGTCTGAGCCGGCCGTCTTATCGCGCTGGTCTCCGTCCTTGGCAGCGGGTAGAAGCCTTGGTCGCCCGCTCGAGATTTATCATTCTGCTGTTGCCTTCTTGTGACTGGGTTGAGGTAGGTCTGCGGTCTGCTAATGGGTTCAGTGTTCATTTGGGGGTTTCCTCCTATAGTCGTAGGCCGTGTTGTGCGGACATTCCGCCCTGGAGGTCGCTGTGAGAAGATATAGCTTGTTGCACTCTGCTTGGCAGGTCCTTGCTGAAGCTGTTGCGCTTGCTCCGAAACTTCCTTGATCAATTCCTGATTGATGGCCATACTAGAGAAGTGCGCTGAATCTGGCGATATGCACTCCGATGGAAACCCAGGACCGAACAGCGGAATCAAAGCTGCCGCAAAACCATAGCAAAAAGTGGCACATACAGCTTTGGCACATTTGTATGGCATCCAATACCCTAGGAATATTTCTAGCTATACAATATGCTCAGCACCAAGTTCATACAGGGGACGGCATACCTTGCGCAAACACTGCCCCCCCTGTGATGCTGGGACAAATATCTCTTAGCCCAGGATTCTTGTCCAGCATTTGAGACGGCCTTGTCTATGTCACATTAGACTTGGATAAATTATTGCCTTCGGAGTAGGTACTTACCTTGGGATACCCCATGCATTTGAAGAAGGGGGTCATTCTAACAAGACCTATGTTGTAGTCCCACATGACTGTGAACACGGCAGGATTCCTTGGAATCTGAAAGGTATATTTGAAAGCTAGTTTCTTTTTCATCAGTTACAATCATCGTATGGATGAGACAATCCAAACCTTCGATACATTCTCGGCCAGTCTTCGCGAAGAAGTCCTTTTTGGAGCTGTTGTAAGGAATATGCTCATAGCTCTTCATGATGGATCCAAACTGCGGGATATTGAATGCTGTTAATTCCTGCCTAGTTTTCTCATCGACGCTCTCGAATGGAGGAAAGTTGACTGGTCCTTGTGTGCCTGGTGTTGAAAGCAAAATTTGCTCGGTAGGCGTGATACTGGGTACTCGGTATTGATCACTATTCAGTACTTGGTATCGATGCCAGGAATTAGAGGCCCTTGAAGAGGCGTGAGCTATTTTGTCACCATTTCCGCCGCTTTCTTCGGGTCCAATGGGATTGAGAAGCTCATTGATGCGCAACATGATCAAGGGCGCCAGCTGCTGTCGCTTGTGGCACTATTCTTCATGCGTTGGAGACTCAGCATAATAACCGTGTTGTGGGCGGGTGCTTCGTGGTTCAGATCAACTGTGAATACTTACATTTGTCTGAGCGTTAAGAACATACCGAATGGCGGTAGTATCCAACCAGTTCTTTCGAGGGGCTGAGGAAACGTGTACTCGCTTGGGTGCTTTCGTTTGTCCTTCAGGCGATATCCGTCTGCAGGGAGGCGACGCTGACAGGTTTGTTTGTGAATTACACTTGCCGCTTTATATTTCTCTTCTTCAGGCCTGTGTCCTTGAGCTTGAGGACCGAGATGCCTTACAAGGGAGACGTGCAATGGTGATAATTCATGGTATTGGAGTGGCCCGGATGAGAAGTAGAGATATTCACTAAGCTAAAATCTCTTCTGTCGTGGGAGGATGCGGACCGATGAGCACGGTCATCAAAGTACCATACTATATCGCCTGAAAAGGCGTGTGGCGACACCAGCATTTCTCCATATTCCTTGACGAGATCGATATGTCAACTGGGTTTGCTTTGCCATCTGTCAAACACGAGCGACACCTCAGCAGTTGCAGCCGACTCGGCTCATATCTAATATGAAAGGACCCGCTTACTACCCGGATATTTCCTCAGAAGCGTGATACGGGAGTATTTCAGTCACATCACTGTGTTGTGGATATCTAAATGAGCCCGTCTTGACAGGCTCCCAGATGCCATGCCGACGCGGTGACGGGACTATTGTTGAGCTTCTTGAATGTCCGATGAGATATGCTTGTACGTATAATTCTGGAGCACATGCCAGATGTACTCCAGGTCCCAAGTTCAAATTGGGCGCAGGGCGAACAGACGTGTGCTGTTTGGCATCAGGATAACAACAAGGATCCCATTGCGCTTTTCGGGTGGCTGCACTGTAGCAAAGCCCTAAGCACCCTGACTGTTACAACGCCGCGGGAAGATCTTGTTCAACGAGGCACGATATGTATAATAGCATTAGGACTGCCAGCCAGGTTCTGTGCTGCAGCACCTGCTGACAACACGTGGATGGAACCTAGTCGTGGGATGTTTGCTTTGAAGGGGTGAAGCACAAGAGACATGCTGGACGAAGAGCATCTCTACCCTCACCTGCGTTTGTTCCTTGGGCACTCTGGACCGTTGCGAGATGCGATGGAGCAAACGGAGCTCGACGTCGGGGGGGGCTTGTCGTCTCCAAGTTGCTACCTGCACGCCATGTTGTACTAGAAACCTCACCTGTCCGGAGAAAGGCCGCGTGTAACTTGAATGTTTGCGGTGAAGCTCCATATATCCTAGATGTTTTGGCAGGAAATGTCTCTCATTGATGCATTGCCTTGAGACAATGAGCTGAAAAACGTGCAAAAGGGGCCCGTTCCCAGGGGCTAGAAGCATCAGGTTTCCCGATGGAATATTGCTAGAAGACGTCCAAATGTTCCGGGGGCGTACAGACACATGGCGCAGAGACAGAGCCGAGCGATTTAATTGTAGAAGTAAATCACAAAATAAGCAAGGACGCCCGCCTCGAGGGAGTTGAGCGTTAATTGCAGGAGACTTGCAGGCGTACACTGGGCACATCAACATCTGTCGTCAGGTTTCTGTCGCACATGAAAGGACTCCATATACACTCAATTGGGCGCTGTCTATTCATTGCTCGCAAAAACTGCAACCGGAATCAGCTTTTAGTCTTGCCCGAGCTATACATAACACACTCGCTCACTGGCATGGTGTTTGAGAATCATGGCGTCTCGTCGAACATGACAGCGATGCATTGCACAGCCTCGGTGTGTTCGCGCTTTTGAGGGAGTGTACTTGATGATTCATGCGGGCTGAAGAGACACTGCCAGACACTTCTCATGCCTGTCATAACATACGCTGTACCAGGCAGCTATCGGTCTGATCTGGCGACACAGGAACTGTGAGGTGTCAAATCTCACGTGTCTGTTTGTCTGGTGTTGCACGTTGAGCATTGAACCCATCAAAGTCTCCAGCGGCAAGGATGGCAAGGTGGGTCACAAAAATGGGTCATCAAGTGCCAAGTCTGTGCCTTTGCCTGAGGCAGCAAAACACGGCCCCTGGTTCCTGGAATCCAGGGTCGATGGAGCACACAGTCAGAAGACGCCTTGGTCGGCCACTTGGCCAGGGAGGCGCGTCCAAGACTTTGTCGACGCGAATCAAAATCGGTCTGTCACAACAATAATCATAACAACAACAACAACGACAACGACAACCCCAGCATCGACTTGCAACGGGCCATGTCAACAAAACCCCGCTGACCAGACCAACCTCCAATCTTATCGTGCGAGTCGAGCTACAACTCGCCGATCCACTCGTTCCTGTCCGTGGTGTATAATCTTCATGTTCAATTGTTGTTAGAACTGCTCTGTCGGTTGGCCTTGTAAGAACGGAAATTCGACTCGGCGCAAGTGTGTATTCAAAGTCAACATGGACTCAGATGCCATGTCAGATCCCGCTTTCAGCCTAGGCGAGGAATCTGACGGCTATGTTCCTCAAAAGGTGAGCGTTCAAATCATGCGAATCTGAGAGGGGGAGGGTCTACCCGTTGTACCGGCTGTTCTGTTCGGCTGCCAGCTGCAATGACAATATCCGAAGTGGTCCGCTTGCCTTTTAATCTTTGTCACACTCCGTATAACTCCCTGAACACTTGCAACACCCAATATGAATATATTGGGACCAAACCCGTCACCGGGCCTGTACCCTGGCGCAAAGCCAATTCAGAAATTCACGACCAAATTGCTAACAGCTCCCAATCAGAAGTCAAAGCCCAAGGCGGCGGCAAAACCGGCCGCGAAGGCCACGGGCAAGAAACTTACACAAACTACCTTGAAGACAACAAAAGCACCTGCAAAAAGACCGAAACCGGACAGCGACGATGAGGATTCTCTCGGAGGCAGTTCCTCAGGCTTTTCGCATACCCCGCCGAGTTCCAAGAAGCAGAAGAAGGCGCCGCCGCCAAAGAAATCTGGCGGTGTCCCTCTTGCGGAGGTTGAGAACGATAGTGTGCTCATTGATGTTCCACCAACCAAACCGACATCAAAGTCGTCAAAAACCGCCACTGAGATGTATCAAAAGCTCACACAACTTGAACACATCATCAAGCGACCTGACACGTATATCGGATCTGTCGAGAAGACGGACCAGCAGATGTGGGTGTACAACAAGGAAACATCACAGATGGTGTACAAGAACATAAGCTTTGTCCCAGGTTTCTACAAAATCTTTGATGAAATCATGGTCAACGCGGCCGACAACTCGCAGCGTGAGGGCAGTGGGATGACCTACATGAAAGTCAACATAAATCGAGCAACTGGAGAGATTAATGTTGAAAACAACGGCAAAGGCATCCCAATCGTAATTCATGAAAAGGAGAAGATCTACATCCCCGAAATGATATTCGGACACCTCTTGGCAGGTTCCAATTTCGACGATAATGAGAAAAAGACTGTTGGTGGACGCAACGGTTATGGTGCTAAGCTTTGTAACGTATTCAGCCAGGAATTCACTGTGGAGTGTCAAGATTCTGGTAATGGCAAGAGATATAAACAGACATGGACGGACAACATGCAGAAGATGCAAAAGGCAAAGATCACCTCAAACAAATCTGCAGACTTTGTCCGTATTACCTTCAAACCGGACTACGATCGATTCGGAATGCCAGAGGGCATTGATGATGACCTAGAAGCTCTCCTCTACCGTCGAGTGTACGACATGGCGGGAACAGTCCATGGTGTCAAGGTATACTTGAATGGTGAGCAAATCAAGCTCAAGGATTTCAAAGCGTATTGTGATCTCTACGCAAAGTCTATCGCCGCCGAGAGAACAGCAGAAGAAGGTGGCACTCCCACCTGCACCGTTGACATCGACAAGGACAAGTCCCATCCTCGATGGGAGGTTGCTTTTACAGTGTCTGATGGAACCTTTCAACAAGTATCATTCGTCAACTCTATCGCAACGACCACGGGAGGTACTCACGTCAACTACATTGCTGACCAAATCACGGGGTCGCTCTTAAAGGCGCTTGATAAGAAGAAGAAAGGCCATAGCCTTAAGCAAAGTCATCTTCGAAACCACATTTTTATTTTCATTAACTGCTTTATCGAGAATCCGGCTTTCAACTCTCAGACAAAAGAGCAGATGACAACCAAAGTGAGCCAGTTTGGTAGTAAATGCGTTCTCGGTGACAACTTCCTCAAAGCGATCGCGAAATCAGATGCTATCGAGAACATCATGGATTTTGCTCAAAAGAAAGCTGACAAGATGCTGTCCAAAAGCGATGGAAGCAAGAGAGCAAGAGTTAGCAATGCAAAGCTCGTTGAAGCTAACTTGGCAGGCACCCGGCGCGGCCACGAGTGCACCCTTATTCTCACCGAAGGTGATTCTGCCAAGGGCCTTGCTGTCTCTGGAAGAGCTATTCTTGACCCTGACAAAATTGGTGTTTTCCCCCTTCGAGGCAAACTACTTAATGTCCGAGACGCTTCACTCGATCAAATCACCAAGAACCAAGAAATTCAGAATATCAAGCAATTCTTAGGCTTAAAACACAAACAAGTATACACGGATACAAAGAGTCTTCGTTATGGTCACCTTATGATCATGACTGATCAGGATCATGACGGTAGTCACATTAAGGGCCTCCTTATTAACTTTCTTCAAGTTCAGTTCCCCTCATTACTGAAAATCCCTCAGTTCCTGCAAGAATTTATCACGCCCATTGTCAAGGTCTGGCAAGGACCCGACCCGAAAAAGCCCCAGAGACTTAAATCCTTCTTTACTCAACCACAGTACGACGAATGGAAGGAGTCGCACAAGGCAGAGTTGTCGAGATGGCAGTCCAAGTACTTCAAGGGATTGGGAACAAGTTCCAATGAAGATGCCCAAGTGTACTTCACCAACCTTGATAATCATTTGAAAGAGTTCGAGGTCATGAAGTCGGAAGAAGCTGAACTTT